ACTATGCCACGACCCCCCTGTGCTGGGTTTTTTTTTGTATTGAAACCTTAAATATTTCCCTTTTATTTGTTATAATTTTTTTGAAAATTTAACCTTTTACCTGCCTACAGAAGGGGATTCAAAATAGCAATTTCTGCACAAATATTTAACTTTTTCAACTTAAGTTTTGAAAATGTTTCGAAAATACTCCGAGCTTCAATCATATGTTAAAATAAAGCTTATGTTATGTACTGCAAGTTCAAAAAAAAAATTTGTCCCGACTTATTTTCTATGTATAAATGGGTGCCATAGTTAAAAATCATGCAATTTTGATCTTAAAATTGTCGATTTCATATTTTAATTTTTCAATTTTAAATTGCTATAACTTTTTGAAAAATGTATGGATCAATACAATTTTTTTTTTTAATAAATATTTATGTACATGCCTTTTAGCGACATACTTTTATTTGAAATCAGTCCATTTTCCTTTATATGGGGGGTTTAAAAACTTTAAAAATGCCAGCAAAAAGTAGAAATTTTCAATTTAACTTTGGGAAATGTTCAGGAAATAATCCGAGTTTTAAATATATGTCAAATTAAAGCTATGATAAATACTTTAAGTTCAAAAAAAACGGTAGCATAGTGGGGTCGTGGCACAATGTGAGCGTGGGTTATTTGGGACAAATATAGATGATTAAAATCACAATCATAAGAAATGCTTCGATGTAAATCTATAAATAGTGCTTAGTTTTAAGAAATTGATAATTACTCTAATTAAACAAAATTCTAATAAAAAAAGTATTAAGGAAAAATCGCAAAAAAAACATTGCCACGGACAATGAATTTTACTGAATCGTCGCATTCGTTTTTTGATAAAATTGACAATTTAAGCTGATTCAAATGTTAAAATTAATTTTTTCAATATAATAAGGTAATAAGATTTAAATTTATATTCCATGTCAATTAGATTTATATAATATTCATGAATATCAGTGTACCCCCTTTTAAGGTGTATTAAAATAAATTGAAATACAATAACAAGAATTTTAACACAAAAATAGCATATTTTTGAATATGATAACCATTTCACTATATCTCGAAATATTTTTTTTTTCACAGTATATTATATTATATAAGCTTTAATTTAAGATCAAATAAAAGTGTCAATATTTCTGGAACATTTTCAAAAGTCAAATTAAAAAAGTTCTACATTTTACTCGTATTTTTAAAAATTTAAGCCTCTCCTGTATAATGTAAAATGGTCCAATTTTTAAAAAAAGTATGTCAAATGAAAGAAGTAAAGTTAAACTTATTTAATTTTTTTTGATTCTTTTAAGTGGAGAATAATAATTTTGAAATTTGAAGTAGCTTAAATTTTTATTTTTATCATCCCACTAATGTGATCTACAGTTGCCGAGTCGTTACATGGTTCATCACGCTTGGGGTACAAGGTTCGATTCCGCGCTGTGAAAATTTATATTTTGCATTTTTTTTGTTATTTTTTGTTAACATTTTAGAAAAAAAATGTTCAAATCATTTGATTTTTATCTCATTTAGATTCAATAACTTCAATAATTATTTTGGATCCCATCACTGTAGTCTCCCCTCACGAGAAAAAATTTCTTATTCACATTAAAATTAATTTACTATGTGGTTATTTTTAAATCATAAAAACATAATTTAATATCTATTAATTGAAATTCGATTGGTTAACTAATTGAGACAATCTATATCAATAACACATTGCTTCTTAATAAATGCTAAAAAATATCATACAACTTTTTGTAATTTCTCATTTTTTGAATAAAACATAATCAAATAACAAATATAGTAGCATTCTTAACAAAATGTCAGGGTGGGTTAACTTTAACACAAGAAATCTATAAAATCTTATTGATTCAATGACTAAGCAAATAAATAGTATACAAAACTGTCTAAAACACATGATTACTAATATAATAATTTAATATTCCTATGTAAATAAATAATTAATATATCATCAATATCTTGAAGAAAAAAATTTTTTTTTTTTACAAAATTAAATAATTTTACTTTGTAATTTATTTATTTTTTAACTCTATATGTGCGTGCTACATAAATTCTATATAAATCAATTCTAAAAAAAAAAATGATTTTTAATTTCAACTGAATTTAACAATGGATTTTTGAATTATTATCAAATTTTATAATATGCTCAATTGAGCAGATCTTTTAAACAACTTTTTGTTTGGCTCTTTTAGTTAAAGTAAATCATTAAAATTAATTTAGATCTGAATATTTGAATTGTAGAAACTTTTTAAACGCCAAAAGTTACTTGAAAATTATTACTTTAATTTCTATTTAAGTGATCTATTACACCCAAAGAAAAACCTCAATCAAAATTGAAAGAGAAATTTTATCAAGGGTTTATGATAATGTTTTATTAATACGAACAAAATAACTATTCTTATAAATAATTATTGTTCAAGACAAGAAAAAAAAATATCATATTGATAAATATATCATTGATTCAATAGTAATGATATATTTATCAAATTGAACAATGAATTTATTATATAGATCGAGGTTTTTCTCTGGGTGTAGGAAAAAATATAAAAAAATATTGAAAATATTAATTTCAAATTTGCAATCTGACTATGGCATAACATCTATCCAAAATTTTCATTTAAGTATAAGATGACGCCATACAGACAATAAAATTATTTTAAACATGTTTTGTACGGTACAACTGTATTTGACCTGTATTGATGCTAGTGTACCAAAATTTTTGCCAAATTAAAATTAAGAAAATTATCTGTAAAAAATCAAAGATTTTGGTGTCAATACAATTTGATAAAAGATGTCCTACACGAAACAGTTTTTACAAAAAAAAATTATTTTTTCTGTCAACTTGTGTCGGTTCTTAGTCGCATTTATAACATGACGAATTTCCTGTTGAGCGGCATTAACAGCCGGTTACTCTCACCCTTCAACTGCTCCCTCTAAAACTATCTAAACCAGTTATTTTATACTTTGTTATCAACACACCGGAGTACCATTTAGCAGTCGTTTATCTGAATTTATAAAAATATTGTTATTATTGACGAGTCGTGGAACTTAAATTTTAATTTTATTATGTTCATTTTTACCATAGAGTTTCT